TTTTTTTAGTAAGAATGTAAACAACAAGATAAAGAAAAGAACTAATGCTTTAAATAAAAATTAACATCCATAGCATCCGTTAAGATGATATGCAATAAGGATGAAGGATACTCAAATGATGAAATCAGCCAGAGTTGATCCTTCTTTGGCAAGGGTCTCAGTCAAACAATTAGCCTTTTTATAAGTATGTTAAAACATGATGTGTCAAACCTTATTACAAAATTGTTTGACTTTTGTGATTAAAGAATCATAAGGATGAAAAGTCGTGTTGCTACTAGTAATAAGATCTAGAATCACTTTAAAGTCAAATTCATAGATAAGATTTTTGATATCTCTCCCAAACAATCTTCAATCCATAATTGATTCCTAATAGTTTCGCATGAAGAGAAGTAGTAAAACTACATGAACCTTTCTAACCAATGTGACATCGGGTCATGCAGTCACAAAAACCAAATGCTCTTGAATTGTCTAAATTGTAGTAATCAATGTTCAACTTGTAGATACTATGTGTTGCAGGGTACCACTTGACATGTAAATGTTGTTTCTGTTGAACATTATTTCGTTATTACTTCTTTATCATATGATGCAAAGAGTGTATTAATTCACAATAAACCAAATTGACCGAATTATGTCATTAAAAATTGCTTCATTTCTTGATCCCCAAATAAACTAGCAAGCTATAGAAAAAAGAATTCTATTTTTGTTAATTGAAATGCAAAGTATTTATGAACTTGGTTCAATTCTTACCTTTAAGTATATGAAATCACAAGATTCACAAATGAAAATATAATTTTACCGATAAAAATGAGTTATATTTCTTTATAATAAAAAAATTGTGTGGAACAAGAACATAATTGATAACTGAAAGGCACTTTGATATGTAATATAAAAAATAAAATAAAAAAACGAAAGGCACTGAGATCGAGTGATCACTTTGGGCTAACGTCGCATGTTGTCATTTGTCATAGAATGAAAACATGCTGCCCAAAAAAGTATGAGCTATGTCATACACCCATGATCTCGCCTTTTTCACACTTCAAAAATCAATTCTAATTTCTGAATATAAACAACCAGTAAACTCATATAATGCCGTGTTTTATTTTATGCCACGTTAATAATATAGAGGCGTGTTAATTTTATTTATTTTTTTTATCGAAAAAAAGCTATTATTCATAAACCCCTATTTTTCCAGGTAATTTTTTCCTTTCTTAATTTTTTTCTTAATGCACGGTTTGCATTTACATTTTGTAAGTATATTTTTGTGGTTTTTACTCTTCTAAAGTTATATGTATAATTTCAATCTTTGATTCAAAAATTAACCGTTGAAAATGCTTTTTAGAGATTAAAGTACGTATATTTACAATCTCTGATAACAGTTGAAAATTGTAATAGAATAAAATACATATAATATATAATTTAAAGATATCAACTGATAAATTTTTAGGTGTCAAAAAAACTGATAAACATTAATGGAGGAGAAAAACATTCATGGTCAGGTCTTACGTATTTAATTTGTACTTTATGCATTTTTTCACGAAGGATAGCCATAGGCCCATAGCATGACCAAAAAGTGACCTTTTCTTAAAACTTATAAAATGTATGGTAATGCTGTAAAAATAGTAATTTGTTGGATGTTTATCTGACTCATATGTTATATTATATGTAGCAAAAATTTTATTTTATTTTGATCCGTATATTTAGCACAATTATATTGGCAACAAATTTGATGATCTAAGAAAAAGAGTCCAGTACTTTGAGCGAATGTCTGTTTTTCTTTATTGAGTCTTATACAAGATATGCAGTGAAGGATAAAGAGTATTCACATTCTTTTCGATTACATACCATTTTAGCTATGGTTTATTTGATAAAAACAATAAATTAGCCTAAAGTTAAAATTAAAATTAAGTTTTTAAAATGAATTTTAATTGAAAATTACTAATTATTCACATGCACTAGTTCTGCCAAAGAGAGAAAAAAAAATACAAGGGAGATAAATGATTGACAAAATATATTGTATCTTCTAATTACTATTAGCATGGTACCCAAACAAATATAATACAAAGAAAATTGTTATATTAATTAAGGGCGATCAGTAATTATTAGTGTGAGAATTTCAAATTAAAAGAGAGTAAGAACTTTTCTGCATGCTAAGATTTTGTGCTCAACCTTAATTTCTTACTTATTTAATCTAGTTTTAGATGTGTTTATTACGAATATAAAAAAATTATCCTTAATTGCAAACCTTTTGCATATGATATAGCATTCGAAATTAAGAAAAACAATTAACTTTTATGAGAGTTTACCGTTGGATTAGTTCAGGTTTTAAGTAAAAAATTTAATTTAAATTAATTAAATTAAATTTATTTGAATTGATTCAGATTTCATAATATTTTTTTTCTTAATCCAAATCAAATTTGGTTGGTTCGGTTCAGATCAATAAATATTCAATGAATTATTTTTAAAAAATGAATTAAAAAATATTTATTTTAAAGTAAATAAATTTTTTAATATTAAATAATTTGATACATTGTCAACGCTTATTAAATTGATATATTTACAATATAATTTTTTTTTAATTTTTTTCTTAATTTATTTAAGAATTTTAAATATATTATAATGTGTAAAAATGATGTTCAATATATCATAATATAATTTCTCTTAGTTTTTTTAAGTAATTCATACGAAAACACAAAAATATCTTTAAAATAATAAAAATGATATATATATATATATATATATATTAATTGTTAACTAATTAAAAATAATAATAAATAAATAATATATAAATTAATTAGTTTGATTTGTAGATTTTAAATGTGTAATTCCGATCCAAACTAATCCATATAAATTTAAATGATTTGATTTGAATCTAACTAAATAAAAAAAAAATCAAATCAATTTAATTAAATTAGTTTAATTGAGATCATTTAATTCCTCAAATTAATCTTATTCAAATATTAGTCCTATTAACTTTTGACAAAATTTGGAAACAGGGACTTACGAGTATCAGTAAGAAAAATTACATGCGTTATTATTATAGTCGTAGACATAAAAGTTGAAGGAAGATGTCATACCGCATCGTTAAAATATTATGATGCATTATAATTATTGTAAATACAATATGTTATAAATTCAAGAGATAGTTTTTTTTATTAAACATATATTTTAATATATAGAAACTTATAAGGCATTTAATTTTAAATAAATTAAAATATTAACAAATGAAATTTAGCTCACCTAACTAGAACTGAAAAGCTACAACCAGATATGAGATGAGAAAGTAAAGGAAGACCCGAAAGAACAAAGTGAGGAGTGCAATAATAAAGTAAAATCAGTCATTTAAAAATATTGAAAAAAAACAGTAATATCCAAATAAGCAAAGAGAATGAGGAACAATTTTTTGAGGGGTAAATGAATAAGGAACAATGTTGTGTGCATATCTTACTCACCAGTCTTATACGGTTATACCACCAATTGAAGTTAAAGCATTTAATTGTAATTTTTTTTTAAAGGTTAATCCCTGTAAATTTTAACCACTTGATTTTAGTATTTATATAAACTGTTATTATTTTATCTTTATTTATTTATAAACCCTATATACAAAAATTAGTATTAATTAATAAATTAGGAAAAAAAAATGATCAACCACGTATCCAATGACGTAGATTAATCCCTAACAAATAAATAAATATTTTGTATTAATAATATATTTAAAAAATAAAAATAAATATTTTTAAAATTTATAGATCATAAATATAAAATTTTATACCAGTTAAAAACTTATTTAATTCAATGTTAAATGTAAGATTATAATTTTTTTTAATTATCATAATTATAATAATGACATTAGAATTCAAATGATCCAATACATATTTTTAAACTCTAACTATTAGAAGTTAATTTAATATTAAAATTTGAGTAGAATGCACAAACTTGTATAACCCGTAAGTTATAATTAATAAATTTTGTATAAGAAGAAAAATTCAAAATAAATATTATTTTATCCCTTTGTCATTGTAATATTAATAAGTACTTTTATTTATTTATACATCATCCAATGTAATATTTATTTATACATCATCCAATGTTATTATAATTATGTTATATTATATTATATTATTCCTGATAAAAAAAAAATAATATGATTAATTTTATAAAAAATAATATGTATTTTTTCTTATTTATTTATTAATTCTTGTAATCTATGTCTAAAAAAATTATATACATAGAATATAATTGAAAAGATATTTAAGTTATTTATAAGTTTCTTTAACTAACTTATAAGTCAATTTGATCAAAATTAATTTATTTAGTATAAAAATTTATGTAAACTTATTTTAAAAATTTACAATATTCATTTTGTTAAACTAATACAAGTTCTTAATTTTTTTTTATTTTCTTTTTATCTTTATTAATTTAATTACATGATTTTTTTACTTTTTAATTTTAAAATTATTTTTATTATGTTATTTTGATTCTTATTATATGAATTTATTTTATATTTATCAATTAATTTTATCTAATATTTTTATTCAATCAATCGTTTATAAGCTTTTAATATGTTAACTCTACTCAACATATAATTTATAAATTTTTGAGTAAATTATAAGATAATTTTGTGAAAAATAGACTATTAATTATGAAATGGGGGTGAAGTGATAAAAATAATAAAATTTTAAATATGATTAAAGTGGTATATATATTAATTATCCCTCTATAGTACTTGTCCGAAAAGAAAATGTTAAGAAAGGAAAAGAAAAAGAAACAAAAAGAAAAGAAAAAGGCAATGACGTCAGGTTCTGGGGGGACAACCATGAACCCATGCGCAATTCTGCGGTCCTTCCTCTCTTCTCTTCTTTACAAATCCCCTCACTCCTAACCGACTTTTTCTTATCCCTCTCTCTCTCTAATCCTTCACTCTCTCCTTTTCTTCTACCTTGCTTCTTCTTCAACTCCACCTTGTCTTCTCTTTAAACATCAGGTAACGCATACATCTTCTCCTCCATCTTGTTTCTTTCCACAATTCACCAAATACATCTACAACCCTTATTTATTTTTCTCTTCTAAATTTAACTAACTAGCTACCATTTTTTCATTTTCATCTCCTCTTTGCCCTTCAACTTCGTCCCATACAACTGCAGCTCCTTAAATACCCTAGCTAATCGATTATGAATGTTAGTAATTGAATTAGCAAAGTCATGAAAAGGAAGGGTGCATATGGCGATGTGTGTTAGGGCATAAATTAAAAGTAGTGGTTTTTGTTTTTTGGGGTGAACAGCAGCAGCAGCATATGTGTTATTTCCTCAAAGTCCGTCAAGGGAATAGGTCAGAGACTTGCCATGAAAATTGTCGACAAAGAGACAACAAAGTCAGAGCCTGAGTTTCCTGAATGAGACGAACAAACACTCTCTCACTCACTCGCTAATGCTTTCTATTTCCTCTCCACCTTTGCTTTTTATCATCGCCTTGATCCAATACAACCCTTTTCTCTTTCCACCAACGTACGCGTGCCCTTTATTTGTGATAACGTCACTCCCATTTCCCATTCCCTTTCTTTATTCATTCCTTTCACCCTCATTTATTAGTTAAATTCTTATATGTCTTCATTTTAATCAAATCGCCTTCTCTCAGTTAAGTCAGGTTTAATTTAAGCATGAACATTCCTTTCTGTGCCACTGCATGTTCAAAAGCATTCATAATATTGTTTCCTAGAAAGTTGTTTTTGTTTGTTTTATCCATGTCACATAGTAAGTTTTTGTAATTCAGCTTAACTTATGTGTCTAATTATTTGAGAATATACATAATTATTAATGGTAATGCGGAATGGGGAACCCCGTTCTGTGATGAATCATTCTCACCATTCACTAACACAAGACAACATCATTAGCACCAGCCTCTAGCTGTCCGTTTCTCACCCTTGTCCAAACACAGGGTTATGCAAAGTTCAATTCTAACTCCTTGTTTTTTTGTTTTTTTTTTTATCAAAACCAAACTTTCATGATTAACTTGCTTCTCTCTCTCTCCTCCAACTCCTTATCTTTTAACCCGGCCCAGGGAAGAAAATCATTGTTTCTGAAATCATGGGGTTTTGTTTATAACACGCGCTTATATTTATTTCCTATTCAATTTGGTGAGTGTTGCTCACCACCAAATGAGCTGATCATTATCTCTGATAACCCTTGTCACCTTTTCACTAAAAGGACTTATATTATATTTTTTAAATAATTCATTTTTATTGGGAGTTTGCCTTTTCAGTTTTATTTTTATGATCACTTCACTATTGTATTACTCTTACTTACTATTACTATTTATTATCTCTCGACTTCACTTCTCTCATGTATATATTGACACTCACATCATATTGGTTGGTTATAATTCAAACATGATGAAGAAAGTCAAGTGTGGTGGGTATTAATAGTGGTGGTGAATTTGATGCAGTACCAGTAATTGCTATGATGGAGTCGATGGAGTCATGTGTCCCACCGGGGTTTCGGTTCCACCCAACAGATGAAGAGCTTGTTGGTTATTATCTGCGGAAGAAAGTTGCTTCTCAGAAAATTGACCTTGATGTTATCAGAGAGATCGATCTATATCGTATTGAACCATGGGATCTCCAAGGTACATATATATATATATATATACACATATAGAGAGAGCTACGTATTTATCTTACACTACTGCATGCTAGTTATAACTCGTGTTAAATCGACTATTAGGGTTTTGAATGCTTGATATTAATTGGTCTGACATATTACTTATCCTTTGATAACATGATACCAAGATAGATCTGTGTTAGTTTGTTCCATTTTTTTTCTTCTGATGTGAATGGTATGGCAGATAGATGCAGGATCGGGTATGAAGAGCAGAATGAGTGGTATTTCTTCAGCCACAAAGATAAAAAGTATCCAACAGGGACAAGGACTAATAGAGCCACCATGGCTGGGTTTTGGAAGGCCACAGGAAGAGACAAAGCAGTGTATGACAAGACAAAACTAATTGGGATGAGGAAGACCCTTGTTTTCTACAAAGGAAGAGCCCCTAATGGACAGAAAAGTGATTGGATCATGCATGAGTATAGGCTTGAATCCGATGAGAATGGACCTCCACAGGCAAGCATATATTACTGCATATGCATACTAATCTGTAGTGCACACATGTATCTTTTATTCTTTTACGCGCTTTGACTATTGTTATTGCCAACTTAATTTGAGTGGTAGAGTTTGAAGTATTACGTTCAAACTTTGCTTTAGATGGCCGCCCGTTAATTATGGCATATTCCTTAACCTTTTCCTCTTTCACACATACACAAAAAGCTACAATACATATAAGCTGGAGATCTAGCATTTTTTATCTCTATTTTCTGTAGCTTTCTTAATGACGTCAAAGGATTTTCAGCTTTAAATAATTACTTTTCCGTATCTTTATTTGAGTAATAAACTAAATCACTTATATCAACAAAAAAAAAACTTAAATCAATTCATCTGCTTTAACTTTAATGGAAAAAAAATATTTAAATACTTCACGGACTCAAGTATATAAATTAATTTTAACTTAGAAAAGAAGTTTGATTTTTTTTTTTATAAGTACTTATAGGTTCATGGTAGTAATTTATTTGATCTCTCCCCTTTGTGGCTACGCTATTTTGAATTTTTGATATGTGCATTAGTTACTGTCAAGCCAGAATGCTTCATATGAATTAATGAAAAGACTTCGTTGTTACTTAAGTTAATTCAGCTCATGCAGTTGGTTGGTTTCTATAAATCTAAACTCACTTTCTTCGCTTTTTTAGTAGACCACTGACTTGTGAATAGTCACCAAGATACGTACACGCTTTGTCACAGCACAATTTTCACCAAAAAGAAGTCAAAAGTCACTGCTTTCAGCAGAGAATAATTAAACTTGTTTCTTTTCCTTCCTTTTTTACTACACACTTTTCTTGCCATTTTGATTGTCAAAACATAACTATTAATGGACTATATATATACAACCTCTCACTAAACAAATGGACAAAATTTCAAAAGCTAAAGCAAACCATACTTAAAACTTAAAAGCAGAAACACCAATGAACATTTTGCTTTTTCTCCCGTACATTTTGCAAGTTGGTCAACTCAAACAGAAAGAAAATACAAGTCCAGAAAGTTTCCTTTCATCTCAACTTTTGAACTTAAATTATTTGGGGTTCATGCAGGAGGAAGGATGGGTTGTGTGCAGAGCCTTCAAGAAAAAAACCACTGGGCAAACGAAGACTATGGAAGGATGGGACTCAAGCTACTTCTACGAAGAAGCAAGTGGAGTAAGCACCATGGTCGATCCAATTGATCTCATTTCAAGGCAGTCTCAGAGCTTTTTAGCACAAAATTTCATGTGTAAGCAAGAGATAGAAGCAGATAACTTGGCAAGCATGCTTCAAGATCCATTTGTTCAACTTCCTCAGCTAGAAAACCCGTCTTTGCCGCTAATAAAGAGGCCAAGCACAGTGTCACTAGTATCAGACAATAACGAAGATGAAGACATTCAAAACAGGTTATACAACAACACCACAAAGAAAGTCACTGATTGGAGAGCTCTTGACAAGTTTGTAGCCTCTCAACTGAGTCAAGAAGACATGCATGAAACTAATGGACTCTCGAGCTTTGAACCCCATAATAATTCGGACTTGGCATTGCTGCTACTGCAGAGTAGTAGGGATGAAGGGAACAGGTTAAGCCCCTTTTTAAATACAGGCTCAGACTGTGATATTGGGATATGCGTATTTGATAAATGAAGGAAGAAGTGCATGGAAACGACTTTTAATTATTTGTAGTACCATATGTTCAATGTTGTATGGATGCTGGGACATACTATATTTTTGTAAAAAATATGTGTGGATCAGAAGAATTAATCTCTCTCTGCCCTTCAGCGTGAGTGCAGCTCTGTGCGCAAATTGAGATGCATGCGTCCAAGTGGCTCTAGAATTTAGATAGTTTTATATTTTATACTTTATATTTTAAGTTATCACGTCAAGCAGGTACAGTAATAGCCTTTCCTTGCCATAAACGAGTCCTCTATCTAGGCTCTGGCTATCCATGCCTAAGAGATGGCAGGTGTGACAGCATTTGTTGTGATCCTTCATCATCCTTCTGTTATTTTAATTGCCTGTATTCTTTAATTTCTCTGGCTAAAGGAAACCTTCCTTTCTGCTCTTCTCATTAAGCGTGTAGTACAATTTTTCTGTCTTCATCTTTATGTCACATGCATGCTCAATATGCACATATTTTTCCATTTTATTAGTGAAAGTGAAAAAATATGTCTTTTGAAGTTAGATGCATGCCACAGTATTAATTATTATAGATGTAAAATCAGTCAATTATCTTTACTAAAGAGTTTGGGAGATTTGTGGTTCACAGTTAACACGTAGAAAATACAAAATATGTGACACACATAATGTGTTATTGGAGGGTGCTATATATCACAGCCCGATATGAAAATTATGCTCAAAATATGTTATAGATAGATAACCTCAAGGGCGTGGTTCAGCGGTAAAGATTGATCCACGCTTAAGCAAGATCAGGGATTCGAATCCTGTCTTGTGTATGCAGTCGCGTTGAATCTTGGGCCAGCTATCCAACCCTTTGAGGTGCTTCTGACGTAGCGAGAAAATTAGTCAATGTTATCGGCACGAACCAAAAGATAGATATTGAAAGATTATGATTAAAACCTCGTTACCTTTCGTGACATATAACAAAAGCGACAACTTCCAAGCTCTTATGCGTAATGCATGCTCAAACATCACTTAGTCATATCAGAAAGCAAAAGCTCTTCCAATGAAATAATGATGTTTTACTGGTTCATTTGTTTAATCAATATAATTTGAATACATAAAATTCACACAAGCTTTTCGTCCACAAGTCCATATACATTGATAATGAATGATCGATTAACTTCAATAATTAAATTTCTCTCCACTTTCTTTTCATGCAAAGTTCTTGAATAACTAATGCTTCGAGGTAACTGACTCTCACAATAAAGGTTATTTTGCACAGAGTCACAGAAGCTCAGGTCAAACCTTTATATATAATCACATAGTAAGGGACATATCATCCCACATTGATACAAAATTCTTCAGTTTGTACTTGCATTATACCTATGTTTGGACTCTAATATATTTGCACAGACTTTAGTTTATCATATATTTTGATTTTAACATAGTATTAAATTTTTATGTAGGGCTTAATTACTGTAATACTATGTATAAACCAACCACTTATAATTACTATCTATGTAGAAAATTTTTGTTAAAAGATAAATTTCATAAATGACGGTGACACTGGTGGAAAATTAGCATATTACGTCACCTCTTTAACGTTGGAAATACGAAATTCGACGTAAAAAAGACGCGGTGGCATTTTTATAATTTTCGCGAACTTTTTTACGTCGGACCTGGTAGGGTACGACGTAAAAAGTCAAATCTACGTCGAACGTATCTTGTGTCCGACGTAGATTTGACATTTTACGTCGGACCCTACCAGGTCAGACGTAAAAAAAGGACGCGAATTTGAATAAGAAAGTGCGAGGCACACTGCGCGCATTCACTCTTCATCACTTTTTATTTTTTTCTCTGTAAACCCTCTCTCTCCTTTGTTATTGAATCGTTTTTTTGTCTTTTGCAAAGGGATGAACTCTTTGTTATTCATTCGCACACTGTTGCAGCTCATCAGGTATGAATCAAGGTTTCGTTAACACTTTTCTACTTCGCATTGCTTCTGTGGCTATCTGTTTTATTCGATTTTTTGGTTGTTCTATTTGTATAGGTCGTTGGCGTTTTCGTTTGGGTTGTTCTACGAAGTAGAACGACCTGTTTTGCTTGCAGAATGACCCGTTCTCCAAGCAAAACGACTTGTTCTCCAAGTAGAACGGGCCGTTCTGCTTGGAGAACGGGCCGTTCTACTTTCATTCTTATGTTTTTTTTTTAATTTTTTTTACTATTTTTTACGTCGGATTTAATGTCCGACGTAAATTTACGTCGATTTTACAGGTCCGACGTAAATTTATGTCTCCCGCTTTTACATCGATATTTTTTCTGACGTAAAAAGCTCAAAATATCCGATGTGGAATACCTCTTTTGTACTAGTGTAAACTTAATTTTTTTAAGGGTGAACGTTGGTAATTAAGAAAATAAAGATAATTTTAACTAAAACAAAGTATTTATTGTGTCAAGAGAACACAAAAATATTTAATTCTTACTATTTAAGTAATGAAAAATATTTATTAATTAAGGTGAACATTTATTATTTCTTAACAAATGACTTTAAGATACTCACTAGCAAGCTAGCTAGGTACTTTTTAAACTATATAAGAATCCAAATGTTTGTGGCCTGAGAGAGCCAATTAATTTATAATATGCGGCCATTCACATGATGTTGTATAAATTAAATTTCTATTTCATATACCTCCTTATTTATTTGGGTTTTTATAAATGACACACTCTGTAAAGTTTTATTACACAAGCGTGACACTAAGCCTTCTGATAATACAGCAATAATTATTATCAACAAAGCCAGAAACATATACCAAGTAGCAACATTTGGCCAAAAGGCCCAATATTTCTTGCTCCTTTACTAGGTTGATTGACCATTGTAGGATTGTTTTTAAAATAATTTACGTAAATGGAACTCTTTTAAAACTATTTATACTTTTTGGATAGTTTATAACGGTGTCGCTACGGGTTATAGCAACACCAGTGTCACGTATAATTTTTTTTATATTTTAGAAGCCATGAACGTCATATTATTAAAGTCGCTGCAGCTGGTAGTTTTTCATATAAAGTCGCTATAGCCAGTAACGACACAAAACGACTTTATATAAAGTCGTTATAACCTATAGCGACACTAATTAATTTTATTTTATTAAAAAAATTTATTTAAAATGTAGTATATAATATGTTTAAAAAATATAATTTATTTAATTTTTTATAGTGTATAATTTATAATTTATAATTTATAATAAGATATAATATTTTTTATAAAAAAAATAACTGAAGCGAAATAATATTAAAAAAATAGAAAAGAAAAAAAAATATGTAAAATTGATTTTAAAAATATATAAAATATAAAAGAAAAAATTAAGTGAAGAAAAAAATGTAAAATAAAAAAAATAAGTATAAAATATAAATAAAAAAAATACATTAAATGTGGAAAAAGTAATAAATAAATAAATAAAGGAGGTTGTTATGGCCCATAGCGACACAAGATCGCTATGGCCCATAGTGCCTCTCGTAATCTATAAAAAATATATAAATTTGATTTAAAAAATATAAAATATAAAATTAACCGAAGGAAAAAAATGAAAATAAAACAAAAAAAAAGAAGTATAAAATAAAATTTTAAAAAAAAATTGTAAAACGCAGTCACAAAAAATAAACAAAATAGAAAAATAGAAAAATACAAAATTTTTAAAATAATAAACAAAAATTGTTAAAATACATGTGAAAAAGAAAAAAAATGAAAAATATAAAAGGAAAAAATAACTGAAGGGAAATAATATAAAAAAAAATGCAACATAAAAAAAAATTACAAAATTTAAAAATAGTAAACAAATATTGTCAAAATATATCTAAAAAAAGGAAAAATATAAAAGAAAAAATAAGTAAAGGAAAAAAATGTAGAAAAATACAAAAAAAAATTAATTACAAAATAATTTAAAAAAAAACTGGTTAAATAAATCTGAAGAAAAAAAATGACCTAATGACCCAAAAAATAAAAAATTTGAAAAAAAAAATTGAGGTCAATCAGCCCCTTCACCAACTTTAAAGGCGTAAATTGTCTTAAAATAATCTCATTTACATAAATAGGTTTAGAAACTACCTTAAAATGATCAATCAGCCCCTTCACCAAGTCAATAGGTTGGGGGTTATAGCAACTGATCATCAATTATTAATTTCTTCAAATAGAAGCACTAAAAACCACACATTGTTGGCCAACAGTCTCATGATTAACCACGTTCCTCAGGGAAAACTAAGAACTTTATTTTTCTTGGTCAAATAAATAATAAACAGCTAGAAACTCAAGAAAAACAAGAAAATGTACATGTGTAATTTAGGTCTTTGCCAATGGAGAAGGCCTAAAACTATCTTCAGTCAATAATATGTTAAAATACAATTAAATTTCTAAGATTTTGCAAAACAAATATAAATATATGTGGTTGAGATGTTATGTTCAGTAGAAGTTTCAAAGAATTATTCAAAACATTAATAAAGTCAAATCTTTTAAGCACTATGTAGTTTAATTAGCTTTTAGTTAGGTATGCTCCACTTCTCATAAGTAGTGGTAAGATCAAAAAGAGAAAATGGACAATCCAGTATCCACCCCAAGTTCCGAAAGAATAATATTTGATAACCGGGACAAGCCTAAAGGACGGAGTGAAAGGCAATTAAATGAATGATTGTGGGAGAAAAGTTAAAATTGAAGTCAAGAAACTTAAGATGAAAAGTAGCACCAATCACACATTTGAAACTATAAAGTATAAACAGAATGGTGCATGAATTAGATTCATGGTGGTCGTTGGTCAGCATGGAGAGTTTTGGTGGGTCCATATGTTGTCTAGCATGCGTTGCGCGCCATTGCTTCTGTTTAGCATGCTTTGTCTTAAGGTGCACAAACCTCGCAGCCCCATGCAATTTCCTTTTTTCTTTTTACCTTTCTAGTTACAAAAGTTTGTTTTCTATATTATCAATTTTCTCATAATGCATGTGCGTTTGTACGTGTTCGTTTTTGTATTTTCTTTTGCTGATCGAAATTAAATTCTGAGGTGATATGAGAGTTGTAGGGATATATATGGCCAAAAGTCTAAACTTACGAAACCGTTAATTTACCTTCTTATTCTATACTTTTTTTAGGGTCTCTTCTTATATTCTATACTTGTGTGCAAGTTATACCGTATGGAGGCCGACTGGGCCGAACACCCGAACGCAAAAATCGGGTCGAACAATCTGAACCCGTGAGTAATCAGGTCGACCACCCGCACTGTAACACATCTAGTCCGAATACCCGAGTCCGCCGACCACACGTGAACGGATAAAACTCATCGGTGTGGTCGGCCAAGCCCAGCACTTCTGTCAGGCTAATTATGGAGAGATTAATTAACATAACGCATCGGATTAGCTCCCTAATTTTCCGGGGCCCAATCCTTAATCACGGCCCAATACGAGTACCTATAAATAGAGTTCTAACGAGGTATGTAACTAATTCTGAACTACCTCATTTATTACGCCGAGAACTAACTTGAGCGTCGGAGTGTCTTTGCAGGCACACCCCACCTCGCTTCGGATTACCCGGACAAGAACAAGAAGACCGAGACCCGACCCGTGACAAGATAATTAAAGTGTGTATCCTAACACAGGAACATTTGGCGCCCACCGTGGGGCCGAAGAGATACTTTAGCCCCATTTCAACTCTACCAACTGAGAGCGAGACATGGTAGTGACCCGCAAAGGACAATCAACAACGACCCAACCGATTCCCAACGTTAACGCCGAAGACAATCCCGTCAGAACCCGTGAGTAATCAGGCCGACCACCCGCACTGTAACACATCTAGTCCGAATACCCGAGTCCGCCGACCACACGTGAACGGATAAAACTCATCGGTGTGGTCGGCCAAGCCCAGCACTTCTGTCAGGCTAATTATGGAGAGATTAATTAACATAACGCATCGGATTAGCTCCCTAATTTTCCGGGGCCCAATCCTTAATCACGGCCCAATACGAGTACCTATAAATAGAGTTCTAACGAGGTATGTAACTAATTCTGAACTACCTCATTTATTACGCCGAGAACTAACTTGAGCGTCGGAGTGTCTTTGCAGGCACACCCCACCTCGCTTCGGATTACCCGGACAAGAACAAGAAGACCGAGACCCGACCCGTGACAAGATAATTAAAGTGTGTATCCTAACACAGGAACATTTGGCGCCCACCGTGGGGCCGAAGAGATACTTTAGCCCCATTTCAACTCTACCAACTGAGAGCGAGACATGGTAGTGACCCGCAAAGGACAATCAACAACGACCCAACCGATTCCCAACGTTAACGCCGAAGACAATCCCGTCATGACCAACCAAGAGCGCTACCCGTACGGAATGCCTCAAACTCAACTAGAACCCGTGATTCAACAGGTCCAGCCGAACACTGACCGAACTCAACCCAATTTGCATGATGACCTCCGTGCGTTGAGGGAGGAAATGGAGACCATCCGAAGGCAAAGAGAAGCCGACGCCCGAGAGCTAGCCGAGTTACGTCGACAAAATGCTGAGCTTCAGAATCTGAACCAAACTTTCGTGCCGTCCACCCCCACAGCAGCGGAAGAGTCTGCCTATCACGCCCCAACCGACCAGGTCACTCGAACTCCGGTCACCTCGTTGATAGCCAACAAGGCCGACACCACCGTCCACTCCTTAAGACACCCTTTCTCACGGAGGATAATGGAAGCGACTCTTTTGGATCATTGGAAGAATCTCCCAATTGAGAAGTACGACGGGACCACTGACCCCGACGAACACCTGAACGCTGTCTTGACGCAGGCGACCCTCTCCACGCAAGACGACTCGGCCTTGTGTCGAATATTCCCCACATCACTGAAGGGAAGGGCCCTGAGTTGGTTCACCAAGTTGCCGAGTTCTTCCATCGACTCGTTTTGCGAGTTGTCATCCCAGTTCACTTTGCAATTCGCGACGAGCAAGCCGTATAGGACGACCTCGTTGGCTCTAGCGGGGGTTCGTCAGGAGAAAAAAGAAAGTTTAAGATGCTTTATGGACCGATTCAACAAGATTTCCATGGAGATAGGCGATCTTAACCCGGCCGTCGCCCTAGACAGGTTGAGCACTGCCCTGAAACCGGGGACTTTTGTAAATAGCCTCTGTAAAAAACCACCACTTGAAATGAATGATTTGCGTCGCCGAGCCGAGAAGTATATGCAGATGGAGGAGCTTGCGAAACCCCGAAACCAGGCTAGAGCGGAGGAGGGTAATAGCAGGAAGGAGCCGAGCCGAGAACTGATGAAAAAGGCTAACGTCGAACCTTCAAACGCCCGGCCCCCGAGGGGACCACGATACACGGCGTACACTCCCCTCAACACGAGTAGGGCTAAGGTGTTGGAGCAAGCCCTCGCATCAGAAATCCTGGTGATGCCAAAAAGGGAAAAAACGTGCCGATTCCACCGAAACAGGGGACACACAACAGAAGAATGCTCGGCACTAAAGGATAAACTTGAAGACCTTATCAAGCAAGGTCATCTCCGGAACTTTGTCTCACCCCAAGACCACCGGTCAAGGGGGAGAGACCACTATCCTCGACGAGCATCACCGTCGAGAGATCGAGGCCACCGATCTCGATCAACAGAAAGGAAAGACCACTCGAGAAGTTCCTGAGAAGACAATGACCGGCCGAGAAAGATAATAAACACAATAGCCGGGGGCTTTGCCGGAGGAGGTTCCACATCCTCCGCCCGGAAAAGACATCTCCGAGCAGTACGATCAGTGAACAACGTGAATCAGATGAGAACGCCGAAGATGTTGCCTATTACTTTCTCGGACCGGGACTTTCGCAGCGTCGACCCCGTCCAGGACGACCCCATGGTGATTTTCATCGAGATACACAATTACATCGTGAAGAAAACTTTGGTCGACCAAGGGAGCTCCGCCGACATCTTGTACTGAAACACTTTTGTACAACTGGGGATCCCTGAGGAGAGCCTAGAACCGTATCACGAACCACTGGTAGGATTCTCAGGCGAAAGAGTCATGACGAGAGGATGCATCGACTTGTACACTCGTTTCGGTTGCGACAAACAATTTTTCTGAGAGATAAAAGTTCGTTACATCGTCGTGCATGCAAGCACGTCGTACAATATCTTGCTCGGCCGACCCTCCATCAACGCACTACAGGCCATTGTGTCGACTCCTCACATGTGCATGAAGTTCCCATCAAGTGACGGACATGTAATAACCGTTCACGCCGACCAGAAGACGGCAAGAGAGTGTTACATGTCCAACTTAAAGGTCCAACCCATCGCCGAGGCCCCGAGGACAGCGAAGGGCGTGAACGTCATAAGGCAACAAATAGCAGAAGATCTTGACCTTGACCCTCGACTGGGTGAGGAAGAGCGAATCGAGCCGGCCGAAGACCTCGTCCCTTTTCAACTCGGCCAAACTCCCGAACAGGTCACCCATATCGGATCTCAGCTGAGTAGAGACGAGTCGGATCAGGTGCAACAAACGATCCGAGACCACAAGGACTTGTTCGCATGGACAGCGTCAGACATGCCGGGCATAGATCCAAATTTCTTGTGCCACCGACTAGCCGTGTGCCGAGACGCCCGACCAGTTGCCCAAAAGAAGAGGAAGATGGGAGACGAGAAGAGAAAGGCCGCGAATGCCGAGGTCCACAAACTATTGCAAGCAAGGTTCATCCGAGAGGTCACCTACACCACCTAGTTAGCCAACGTAGTATTGGTCAAGAAGTCGAATGGCAAGGAGAATGTGCACCGACTACTCCGACCTCAATAAAGCCTGCCCGAAGGATGCTTACCCACTCCCTTGCATTGACCGGCTCGTCGATGGCGCGTCTGGGCATGCTGTGTTTAGTTTCCTGGACGCTTACTCCGGCTACAACCAAATAAACATGCACCCTGCCGATGAAGAAAAAACGGCATTTATCACCGAGAACGCTAATTTTTGTTACCGAGTCATGTCGTTCGGACTAAAAAACGTCGGGGCGACATACCAAAGGCTGATGGACAAGGTGTTTCAAGGTCAAATCGGCCGAAACATCGAGATTTATGTTGACGACATGGTGGTCAAGTCTGGCTCCCTAACCGATCACATGGCCGACCTAGCAGAGATCTTCGACGAACTGCGCAAGCACAATATGAGACTGAATCCTGAGAAGTGCAACTTCGGGGTCAGGAGAGGCAAGTTTCTGGGGTTTACGCTTTCGACAAGAGGGATAAAAGCAAACCGAGACAAGTGCCAGGCAGTGCTAGAGATGAGGACCCGAGTAATCTCAAGGAACTGCAGCGTCTTTCGGGAAGATTGGTTGCCTTATCCCGATGGCTCCCACGTCTAGGTGACATTATCCCGATTCCTCCCACGTCTAGGTGACAAAATCAGCCCGATGACGAAACTCTTGCGGAAGGCCTCGACTTTCTCATGGAATGAGTCATGCGAAGCCGCCTTCGCGGTATTGAAAGCAGCCTTGGCGAAACCGCCGATACTAACGAGACCGGACCCTTTGAACCCGCTATCGGTATACTTAGCTGTATCCGACGAGGCAATCAGCTCGGTCATAGTGCAAGAAAAGGGGGGCACCCAAGCTCCAATATACTTTGTCAGCCGACTCTTACAAGATTCCGAGACCCGGTACCAGCTGATAGAGAAGGTCGCACCCGAATTGGTCCACACCTCCCGACGCCTACGTGTAGACACCCAATTTCGTCCGGGGGGCATACAAATAACAAGATAGGACATCAGAGGGCCCAAAGGCCCAAACCAATTTTTTAGTGGCCCGGAACGGGCCATTCCAAAATCGGAACGGGCCGTTCCCAAGTCCGGAACGGGCTGTTCTCAATCAGAACGGGCCGTTCTGGGCTTCTAAAAAGCCTAAAAAAATATAGGTTGGAACGGGCCATTCTAGACCAGAACAGGCCGTTCCGAACCAATCAAGGGGCTTAAAATCTGTACCCCAGAACGGCCGTTCTGAAATCAGAACGGGCCGTTCTGGTTCCCTGGAACGGGCCGTTCTGGTTTCAGAACGGGCCGTTCTAGGGTGCAAATGTACTGCATAACGTTCGGATCCGGAACGGGCCGTTCCGAATCCAGAACGGGCCGTTCCGGCCCACAT